AACTTAGGAAGATGTGATGAAATGTTAATTAATCGTCTATATTAGCGTGCAGAATGTTGTATTTATAGATAAAGATGTCATTTAACAGTACAATGTCTTTGGACTGTAGAGTAGAAGCCAGTTTTAAATGCAGGGCAGCCATGAGTCGGTACGCATGGGCCTAGCTGACCGGAGTGATACCACGGCCTTACAGAAAACCTCCTTTCAAGCGAGAAGGATATATCAAACCTTTATTGTAAGGAAAAGGCACATCAGCATAGTCCTTATTCCTTGTTGATGTAGAAGAGATAATCTTAAAAGAAGAGCCAAAATTTGTATTAAAAATTTCAGGTTACATTTTGAGTAGATTGCATTGATCGATAGTGGTTACAGTCAGCCGGTGATCACGATATCAGGCGTAATAAAGTCATTACGTACGGCTATCTATGTGTTTACTCAATTATTCATGATTCATTTTACTCCTGAACTTATCAAATCTCGCCGATAATGGTAAAACCACGTTTAATTTGAAATGAAGTCCACAATATTTATTACACGATTTATTATATTCGTTAAAGGTCCTAGTTGTTGTGAAGTCGATAACCTTGCAACCGTCAATACATAAGCGATTTTTAATATGAAGACTTATCGTAGACATCAACCGCGATCGCAATAAAATCTATTTTAGTAGTCAGGACATTAATGGGTGAATTCAAATTTGTCAGTCTGACTTCCATAAAGATATAATCGATGATAACATTGTGTATAGTCATCTACACGATAATGACTTGAATAAGGTTTGTTGTCTGTATAAACCGTAAAATTGAGCATCTCATTAACACCCGACACGAGTGATAAATGCTCGCCTTACCATTGTTTCGCACGATTCTATAAAATGTGTGACGTTTCAATTCTCAACTTTAGTTTTTTTGTACCTACCATCTATTGATTTCAAGTCATTAACCAAACCAGAATCATCTTGATTCTATTGCGCAGTAAAAATAGACTTAAAGCTACAATTGATGTCTTGACATCATGATTATTGCAATAAGAGCTAAAATCAGACCATGATTTTAAATATACATATGTGTAGGTAACTTCATATTTATTTTTGTAGTGAGTAATTTTCAGTTGACTAATTCGTTCGCGTCATCGTACGGCGTTTTGTTTGTTGAGAAAATTTGCTTCCAAACAATTAATTAAGCCATGAAACGCAACTGGAATCTGTTAAAAATTACTCATTTTACGACAATGAATACTCATTAGTGTGTCAGGGAATGTTGTCTTGCATAATTTTCTTACGTTTCTGTAAATAATATTCTTCATTTATTTTTAAATCGTAATTGTATGTAACTTTTTAACGTTTTTTGACTCCCCAAAATACATGAAATTAGCTTCGTTCAGTATCAGTTATCATCGAATGCCTTATCCAAATTTCCAAATCTAGCTACACCGATAGTTGTGGAAAATGCGAGTACTTCCCCGTACAAGTAATTAGTAAACACTTCATCACAATACCATCTAACACTGAATGAACGGTAAATCCACATGTTTTGACATTACCTTCAGTTTTATTGACTTAATTCGTTCGGTAGCAAGGAATCCGCGGCGCCGACCGAGTGGAGAATTCCATAGCTATGACTGCCTAATTTTTTTATTGTAATGTATGCTTGTCGTAAATCCTTATAGCAAAGGTCGTTATGCATGTGGTCATATCGTTCTACGATCTTATCGTTACTCTGACTCCATTTACATCTTCATGTTCAGGATTTTATTGACTCCTATTCACTTGTATAGACCTTATACTTACGTGGTATGTTTTGGTATTCAGCCATTACAACGATTAGGTCACCCAACATTTCATCTATAATATTGCATATTATTTTCCTTGTGACGTCAAATGGTTTGTTTGCCTCGTGGTCGGTGGACACAGATTCCGTTTTACTACAACAAGCATCAACCTGTTCCGTTTTTACCTGTTCCAAAAACGAACAGGGGCTATTGTAATCCTATTCAGATAAATTCTCAATAAATACAATGCTGTCGTTGAAGCGTCGAAGACCCATTGATTTTTTGTTATGTATTTTTTTCTTTTAGCAGTCCCTTGATTTAGAACGTGAGAAGATAACAGAATGGTTTTGCGAATATTTTGGAATACATTATTTTGAGTAAACGTTTGAATTTTTGTTGATGTAATGATGAACGATAGTGTCAGCATATTAAAGTTTCTTAACGCATGTAGCCAAGGGGTGGTTACAAAACAATCGGGAATCACTAAAATGTTGTTTTAATTTATGTTTGTATATATTTTTTAGATTGATATAGATATTAGCCTATGTCAGTCTATTAAAACCATCGGAACTTAACGGAAGACAATATTAAATGTAATAACATTTGCATCAAAGTTAAAAATAAAACGCTAGATAATTCTTGGTATATTTTGGTTTCTGCACTTTTAGCACCTGTTTGAAAAACACCACAATTTTTAGTGCCATTTTGCAGGGCAGCTGTTTGTGGTTGTACACTTGGAATACTTGGTAGCTCCAGAAACATATTGTAATAAGTCAAATGCATATAATAGCTTTAAAGATATTACGATGTCAAAAGTAATTTGTATTTGATAATTTGAAGTTTACAAATAGTTTTACAGACTTACTACTTACGGGTCAACGTTGTCATGCCGGTGCAGGCGTTTTTAGTCAAAAAGAGTTTGATACTTCCTTTCGCTTAACCCAAGATTGGAGGATTATTATTGTAGTCTTTTTTCTTGAGGTGGCTCAAGAAAAAAGAGTTGAAAAGAAACAATATGTATCAGAAAAAGTTAACATGTTGATTTTTAAGTGAGTTTTCAACGGAGATCATTAACAATCTCAATGGATTTATGTGGACAAGCCAAATAGTATTGTCGTCATATATTACATTTAAAGGGGCCAAAGAATTTATTCATAAATAAATAAAACGCCTTTACAAAGTAATTTAAATTGTTACAGTTGTAACAAGGACAACCTCTCGAGTCTACGAGTGCTACTTCAAAAATACATAGTTACTTGATTGACTACTGTATCGGCGCAGCAGATTTGCAGTGTGGGGGCGCCACTATGCAAAAATGGGCGATTTCTCTCTCTTTAATTGAATCCCATGCAACATTTGATTTATAATTCTTCAAACAATACCCTATAAAAATGGAACCTTATCGTCGTATTTTCTATAAATACCACTTCCTAAAGAAGTTTTTCTTCAGTGTTTACGTTATAGGGAGATAGATTTGCACGCTGGGAAGTCCTATTCAATGACGAACGGACACATTATTACCTAGTTTACAATAAATAGGTGCACGATCAATATAAATAATGTATGTGTACAAGAGGAAAAGGATTATAAGATTTATAAATCTCTTGACACAGCAATCAGTGTAGCACTTAAGATAGTAGTTTATACTGTAGAAGACTACGCGCGGTAGTTGCGAACTGGAGTTGAGGACGAAAGGATCTAACCAATACTTTGTGATGCATTTGCCACGGGAGCCAACTGTCTACGTCATCAGCAAGGGAATACTCCCTAATTATGAACCTGTCAAGTAAGTAATACCACATTCTTTATTTGTCAGCATTATACTTCGTCCCTATCCAAGCGGCGACCCTGAAAGTACATATATAGGTCAGTCATTCTGAAAGAAACATGCATTTGTATTTGTCGAGAGAAGTTTCATATGATAAATCAGTATTCAGGATATTTGTAATTTGTTAACAACATTAATTTATTATATGTGTCATTAATATGTAACTATATGTAATTAAAATTGTTTTTTTTACTTTTATGCCTTTTGATAATTTTACGTTTGATCAAATATATTATTATGGTGTAGGTTTTTAACTAGATCTTTTGGATATACACATATCAAGGGCTAAGAATGGAAATAAATAACTGGCAGTAAAGATTATTTTAAAGTGCAAGTGTTCTATATCAATAAGTGAATAAATTTATTAATTCTAAATTTTGTGACCTGATAGCTGACAGGTTTATTCTTAAAAAACTTTGACAGATAAATTAATATTAAAATAAATAAATATTTCGATTTTAATATAAGCTACGTTTCGTTATATTCGTAATTCAAGAAAGCATTACACTACGTTATGTAAATTATTTAAAAAAGACGAAAGAACATAATATTTTTTGATGAAATTTTCTGCAGCCACAGGACAGACATTGGGAAGTCGAAGTATTAAGTAAAAATAAATAAATCCAGGAGCTATTCCAAGTGGACAGAGCGCAATTAAAGTGGAAATTATAAGTGACATGCATTTTATAAAATATTTTCTACGGTCTTTTAAGAAAATAAATGTTGCTTAAAAACTGAGTGCAATGTTAAAACGTTCGTTAGTTTAATTTTGTTTTTTTAACAACACTTCAGAGTTCTAACACATGTCTGGGGCCACGTGTTTTACTGAGCAATGAGCTAACCCCTAATTATTCATGGGACATATACTTGTAATAGGATCATAAGTTCTGTAGGTATTACTTATCATACATCCTCTACCTTTGTAAGTTCTATGTCACGTGGTCATTGCCAAAAATGCGAAATTGAAAAGTGGCAAAGCACTGGTATATCTTTTCACGGTGGTCGCTTGGTTTAGTGGGCAGTGCGCTCGTGAGTCACGTCTTCTGAAGGTTAGACGTGTTGTATTGGCGGTTCTCATACTGTTTTATTATTTGACGTAGTTGTGAAAACCTGTGAGTTGATGAGTGAAGTACATAGAGTGCTTGAGCTGGCGGGTCGTGGTTTTCAGTCGGCTGTATTGCGCGAGACACGCTTACGTCACTTGGCGCCTCCACTCCGCTTCAGCGTCAGGCGAGCCCATCGCGTATCGGCTCAGCGGCTCAGAGCGAGTCACTCCTTTTGGCGCGCTCACTCGCGTCTCACCCGTTCATTGCCGACTTGACCGCAACAGTGGCACGACGTATGGTACACTTACCGACGGGACTAAATAAAATTAAAGTTAACTTTTTTGGCACAATATACAAAGTGCCCAAATAGTGAATTTAAATATTATTTTTCTTTTTTGAAAATAACCACGAATTGTTACAAATACGGCGAACCAACCAAGTTTTCGCTCGGCGAAAACTTTATATCGCAATTTTTGTCATCGACGACTAGCACGCTACTCGTTTTCAGTATACGATTTCTATACACAAGTAATATTTTTATCAATATCTGAATATTTGTGAGGATTTTCTTAAGTAAAGGAGTGGAAGGAAAAAGTACTGAAAATGTCGAAAAAACATCTTCACAATCAAGCGGCTATACCGTTAGCTCCGGCGGTGTTTAAGGTAAGATTTTATTTTTAACTTTTAATACTTTTATTGCGAATTTTTTGTCTTTTTTTTCATTCAAGGATACTGTTCCGATTTGTATTTGGGTCTACTTTTTGAAAAATGCTTTGCGACGTACTTTAATGAGCACTTTTTAATTTATAACTGAATTTATTTAGGATGGTTAATAAAAAAATATATTTTATGTCAGTTGATATGAATTTGTGGAAGTATGGGAGTTACATGAAGTTTCACAGACATTGTGAAACAAGGGTATGCGGCGGAGTAATTGTTTCGGTCCCACCGTTCCTATAGCGTTGAGCGTTGTTCACAGAAGCGATACGGCTGTGCGTTTACTCTACAGTACGTACTGATTTCACATGCCGATACTGAAGTACCCAATCACTTTAGATTAAATGTGATTTTTATTTACATTTGCATTCAGTTTTGAACCGATGTACAGCATAAGGAGTGAAATCAGTACTGACTGTTCAAGGAAAGATAGATACATGCTGTTCAAAAGTCTACTTATTGACAATAATTTTTTGAGGCCAACTTAAGTAGTTTTTAAGATGTTTGGTGACCGACGATGTGCATGTATTTATCCAGTTGGATGCTGAGCTCTGGAGATCACTGGGTCAAGTGGCATACTCCTTCAATAGATACTTCAGAAACGATACACACGTATTATCATATTTTTTATATTCGCCAATGTTCGCGGTCACATCTTTATGATGTAAGTTTGATATTTTCTTAGACACACGTCGCTACAAAGTTACTTCGTGCAGCTTAAAACGCTTTTGAAGCAGTTTTCCACGTTTTATTAATATGTTTTGATTTGGTAAACAAACGAATCCATTATTTGATTGACTAGGACTATTACAATATTTTTGTAAACGATCTTTATATCTTTAGGAATCATTTCAATAATCGGATAATAATATCTACACATGACAATGAGTTGTTGACAAATAGCGTTATAATGTGAAAGTAAATGAAACAGAGGAGGCAGAAAAAACTTCGCCGAAAGAAACTAAAACTAAGCCGGAGGCATTGATTTATTTTCCTTTTAAAACTTTCACACAAATAAAGAATTAAATAAACAAACATATTAACCGCAAAATGTTCATATAGCACATACTTTAAATAACAGTAAAAAATTATATTATCGAATGAAACTTCAGAAAATACATATAAACGTTACTAGGAAAAGTTAATATTTATTATAATGAGACTTATGTAGTTTATTTACAGTCAGCAGTAAACGATGAAAGCTAACAATTTATTAACCATTAAGCTGCAAGTCCTTAGGCATTGCATGCGATCAAAATATAGAATGTATCGCTACAAAATCCATATTTTCTAACGAGTAGAACTTTGGATGTGAAATAATGCGTTCGCGTAGCACGTGATTATAATGAGAACGTGTTTGTGCAGTCAATAGTTAATCAAAGAAATGATGAAAATGATGCAGAAACAAAAGTTGAAGATAACATAAATACTAAGGCAATTCTTCGACGAGGCAAGCCAAATGTTTCGTCGCGTAACGTGACGCGTGGTGACATCGCGTCACTGTTAATTTTTTGTATGCAAAATAGAAGAATACATTACTGAACAATTCTCCGCTGTAGACTAAACTCATTTGCACCATTTATTATTGCCTCTGAGACGTTACCTGCGCGTTATGGTGTACCCCATTTGTTGTGTTATAATGTGTTAAATAATCTCAAACAACGTCATTGTCCGTTTTAACATTTTAACAATCTCTATGTTCGGCTAAAATATCATTGACGCTCTAATTTTTTGGCTCTGTTCAACATGTATTTAAAGTCTGAGATCACAATTTTACGTCAGCTAAAATTTCCATATCAGAATAGAATTAAATGATTTAAAATAGGTACTTGACGATGATAATGAATTAAAAACTGTTGATAACTTAAACAAGCTTACAAGACATGTATTCCGAGTTACTCATTAAGTCTTTACCCAAAGATTGTCTATGTTGTTCTTGAGATGATGGATGACATATTTGCGAGATGAGTTATGAGTTTGTACTACCGGTTTGCCTGTATTATTTTAGCCGCTTCATCGTGCAGCGTAGAATCTAGAAACGAAGCCAAAGTTAGAATTTCTTCCTGGTATTAAAATAAATAGTAGAGTCCAGCCTGGCTGTAATTTATAGATGCCAAACCACAAACCAGGAAACAGTAGAAAATGGCTAAATAACATGAAAATGCCCTAAATTATAGGTTTAAAGTGAACTCCCTAAACGTTAAACGGTTGGTTAAAATGCACTTGCAATGATAACTTATAGAGGGGTTACAGGTTAAAGTTGCGCCGTCAATAATTCAAAGGTACGGAGTTAAAACCCTAATCATAGAGCTGGTGGGTTTTGAAGCACAAATATGGATGACTAATCATGTTGATGGTGGAAATTATTTAGCAAAAGTGTTGATTCAACTCGAGTCACGTGTAATGAATGTTGATTGATCAGTTCATCACCTCGTGATGTGTTTCATCACATCACATCAGTAGCTAAACAGTATCAAGATTCAGTTCTACGTCATTGTGTTAAAAATTGGCAATTTTATTTTGCTCCATGCCAGTTTTTCTGCTTATACAATGCCACGTGTAACTATTTACATGATTGTCATAAGAGTATTCAATAGCTTTTCGTGGTGAAGTATCGTATATATGTAACAATATAATAACATACAAGGTAATAATCAAATATTTCCTCATATGCTCTTGGAAAATTTTGTTATAATAATACTATCCTCATATGTTTGGCTGGCTCCTCTATAATTGTAATTAGTATACGAATATCGATGACCGTATGATACCGATACCGATATCGATGTTTTTTGATAGACTTAAAGCTATAAGAGGTAACATTAGGTAATGTGTCTTGTACCGTCCGTCACTGTCAAGAATTTTCCAATTTTAAATTGTTCCTATCATCTTTAGTTACATCTAGCTCTACCTGAAATGAACGTACTCCTGTTTTATAGTTTTGCCTTCTTTATAGTTTGAACTTTCTTTATGGTGCCATCTACTGACTTATTCTGATTCTTTTAATACTAATTAACGTTTATTATCTTCATGTCGATTGCTACATAAACGTTTCAATCAATGAACATCATTATTTTCATAACTTGTTAAGATAAAACCGAACTTTTTTAAACATTAACACATGTAATTAACTGGTTTCTTGAACTGAAGTTTACAACAGTCATTTAATTGAAAACGTAGTGTTTTCATAAATACTTCCAGGTTAGGTGGTCTGTCAGAACTGTAATGATGTAACAATTCTGGTATCTATATTCTTCAATAGTGTCAGGTGTTCATTGGGTATTGTCCACACGATCCGCTGCAAGCGGACACTCGCCTCCATGGCAGTGCGCGCGCGTTTATCTACGGTGCGACTGCGACACTACAGCGCTTCAGAGGAAAACCTTAATGATATTTGTTTGCGATGGACAACTGACACGCTTATAATCGTAATAATAACGCGTCTTTCCTCAACAATCTATTTCCCTGTTCGATTCGCCACACAACGCGACTTTATTAACACTAAACCGCGTATAACAAAAACGTGAAAATTTAAATAATTTCACTCGGGTACCTACATCTAAATGTCTCTGAATAACTTTGATTTAATAGCTTTACGAGTTCTAAGTGTCCACAACTACTAGCACATTAAAATTAATCTAGAAATAGAAGCGCTTGCGGTGCTCGTCGGCCGTCTCAATTTCCGTCCAATGGAAAATAACCAAAAACGGGATGCCTTTAGACAAGGACGGGTATACATGTTTGTCTAACGTTCACGGTTCAGAGTGAAATGAAGCGTAGTGCACTCTGATAGAGTTCAATTTAGTTTTAGACTATAGGTATACCCCAAGTCTATAGCTAATAACCCCGGCAAGGCTGGCCTCTGTATTACTGAAGCGTGGAGCCGAAAGTTGCGCGTGCTTGCTCGCGGAGCGGCCTCCAAATTGGTGCCATGAGTATAGAGGAGGCGGTCGCGACCGCGGAACGCTTCGGCTTTCAACTTTGTTCGCTTCTGAATACATTTAAGTTTGCAATCATTAGTACCTAATCGGGTTATTTCCATTACGTATCTAGTTCGTAAAGAATTTTATTACTGAATTATATAAATTTCGTAACTTCCGTCGCACTGCAACCGGGATTATTTTTAAACGTTCTAAGTAAAAACCGGCAATAAATTTGCAAGTTAAGTCTCATAAAACACTATCGAGAACGCAGTCAGAGAAAACCATAAGTCAGCTTCGATTATCTGGACATTACACGCGTGTAGTCCGCGAAGAGAGGCGATGACCGTGCGTCTCTGTCTAGCCTTTTCGCTTGGTTTAGTGTGTGTAAGTGTAGACGCTATAACAACGGCGCTTGGGCAATGGAAATTTCTAGAGACGTTGTCGGTACTCCTCACTCCGCCGTCGCCGACACCTGCCCCACCCCGCGCCGCTCGCTCGCATACCCGAATACCGTTCTCGAGTCGCTCTCCCCTTCGATGGAATCAAAGGATTTTATACTTCTATACAACAAACCGCTCCAGCTTGTTGTCCGCGCCATTCAAAACGACATAAAAGATCATTGATAAACATTGTTCAGAACCGGTTTTGTTTTTTGTAAACTTTTATTATGGACATCTCAATGGCTTTAGAAAAACTGCTGAAGTTAAGAAAGTAATATAATGTAAAGAACAAATAATCAAGGTCATTCATAGCAGTAGACGTCTAAACACAAAGATTAAAGCGTGTTACTTGATAAGCGAAACACGCCTTTGGTTACGAGGTTCGCTCGCCGTTTGCGCCCAAGTAAAAAACGTCGCGACTTGCCGAATTGGATGCTTTTGTAGTCTGTGTTCGTATCTACCTGTTATACATTCTCGGTTACCAATAAGCAGTTAGTATTTTGCTCAATGATTTATTACTTATGCCTTCTTCGCCTTCAAAGAGGTCCACGTTTAACTCCATTTTATACCTCATAAATAGGTT